TGAAGCTCCTGCCTGATGCCCATTGATTTCAAGTATGCCCTTGCTTTCGGCCCATCTTTGGTCCTCTCTGGCATGTTGAGCAGGGTACCAAGCAGACTCTCGCACACGTTCTTCGTGATATGCATGACATCAAGGCTGTGAGGCACACCGTGGATCTTCCAGTACGGCAAGTCCCAGAAAATAGACCTTGTTTTCCATACCTTCAGCAGCGGCTCTGGCGCCTTTTGCTTCTTTCCTGGCTCTGGCGCCTTTTGCTTCTTTCCCAGCAGTGAGCAGTCTTTCCAATTTTTCAACAGCTCGTCTATTTCCTCGCCGCTCCTCGTACATGGGCGTTTTCGGGGTTCGGTTTCACCATCGAACAGATCCTTGCGTTTCCTCCACGGGTCATCGTCGCGAATCCACCTTCGATGTCCCATGAACACGATTTTCGAAGACCCGGGATCTCTATCTAGCTGGCGATACGTTGCGTCATCCATGCACCTTACGCATCCAGAAAATCTGTGGACTACCTGCCCCGCGAGATATCCATAACCGAGATAGTCATGCACCGTCGTGAGCAGTGCGGCTCTCATAGGGAAATATTATTTCTCTGCGGCGTCCCACGTATTGGCTGGCGTTTTCCATAGCGTGTCTAGCTCCTCCTTCAGCAGCCCCAGATACAGATTGATGTCGTTCCCTGGTTGTTTCGGCCCTTCAATTAGCATACTCATGTGAATGTACTTCCTCTTCATGCACAACGAGGGGGGAAGGTTGTACATCCACACAAACACAGGCCAGGTGCTATGTGTGCTTCTCTGGCTGCCAAACGGATTGACTCCATCGGTGCTCGCGCCCAGCACGATGTTCCTTGGATCCTTCCTAAATTCTGGGTATTCGAAGTTCAACGCTTGCCACTGGCTCGCATCCTTAGGGTGACTCAGCATCTTGTCTTTTTTATTTATCTCCGAATCATTTCCGTCATCTTCCCGCTTCTTTTCCTCCCTATCCGTGTACCAACGCAGGAGCTTTGCTACCTTAGGGTTCATGAAATACCGCTGCAGACGAGGAGTGATCGGAAAGTACCACACCGATTTTCGAGGAGCTTTCTTCCTCTTCTTGTATCGAGTGACGCCGCACACCGGACATATGGTAGACTCCGCGTGCTCGTCCCGATAAATGATACAATTGTTCATGCACACATGGTATTTCACGTGCGGTAAATCCAGAGGACACACGATTTTCTTCGCCTCCTCGAAACTGGTCGGGCACTTGTTCCCCTTGGGAAGACGTTCGTGCCAGAATGACATGTTCTCGTCGAAGCATGCATCGGTCATTTTGTGTTTTACCTTCATCTCCAGAGCCATGAGCGTTACTTTCATGCGGGTATCCTCGGGCATGCATCCTTCATACAATGGAGTAACCGCGTCTATCTCCAGTTGATCCAGCTTGGCTTTCTCTCGGGCGGCAGCTCTTACGTTATCCGTCTGCTTGAGAAGCAGCTCTTGAATATGAGGGTCCTGCACCCAGCCTCCATCGTCGTCTGCTCCGGCATCTTCATCTTCATGATCATGCCCTTCATCTTGATCTTCCTCATCATCATATACGACATCTTCTACATGATGACTGTGTACAGCATCACCGTTGTGATCATGTCCTGGAGATTCTTCGTCTTCTCGCCCGCCCTCGCCGCGGTGGTACTTGTCTTGTTGCCCTTCCTCATTTCTTGCCCGGCCCCCATGGACGACTTCATAGTCATCTTCATCACCTTGCCACCGATAGCCATCCATGAAACCACGCAAGAGCAGGTGGTCCCGCACCTGCCCAGAATTCGGGTCCGCAATAAGGCTCTTCAGCTTGCATCTTCGACACGGACATCTTATCTCCGTCTTGTTCTTTTCAAGCATCTCGGCCTTCGCGGAGCTCAAAAACCTATTCACGATGCCTTCAGTCATCGTGCGGACCATGGTCACCTGCGGGGTAGAGCAAAACGATATTTTAGAACCAAGAAAAAATTTGGCATGACCTTCCCTAAAAATAGGACCAAAAAGAATGCATAGTGCCAAAATTCTCGCCGAAATGGAAATGAATCAAAACATTCCGGCAAAATATTGGCAACTATCGCATTTCAAATACCGGTACCTTCAAACACAAACATATATGCAACGCCACAAACACATGCAACACCACAAACATACATAGATCTAGCTAGGCCACAAAAAGTGCATGTGCACGTTGTTGGAGCGAGCTAGGGAGAAGAAAAAGTAGATCTACATCATGAAGATAGCTTTCCCCTTACTTACCTATCAAAAAAAGGTAATTTCACCACTTAATTTTGATGAATCTATGGTGGAAATGAGGTGAGGAGGAGGAGGCAGCCGAAAGCTTGGAGAAGGAGGTGGAGGGAATGAAGTGGGGAAAGTGAGTGGGTAGGTGTGGGGCTGTCCAAAATATCTTATTGGGGTCCCGGGTTACTAATGGCGCACCACCAGCAAATGCGCCATTAGTAACCCTGGTTACTAATGGCGCACCTGCAGGTGGTGCGTCATTAATAGTTTTGCAAAGAAAGTAAAATATATATATATATATATACTAATGGTGCACCGGGTAATAGTGCGTCATTACTAGTTTAAACTAGTAATGGCGCACTGTGAAATGGTGTGCCATTAGTAGTTTTGCAAAAAAAGAATAAAAAAATTGACAGTAATGGCGCACTGTCTGCCTGGTGCGCCATTACTAGTTAGAACTAGTAATGGCGCACTTCGACCTGATGCGCCATTAGTTTGTATGAAAAAATGGAAAAAAATTAATACTAGTGGCGTACCCTGTTTCTGGTGCGCCATTAGTGTCTTCCACACTAATGGCGCATCACCAACCGGTGCGCCATTAGTATATAGTAGTGGCGCACTGCTTCCATGGTGCGACATTAGTATCAATCCTATCTATAGCCATTTTCCTAGTAGTGAAATTAATTTTAGAGTGATGAGATCAAATCAATAATTCAAGTACCAGATACACAAGATGTCCATAACCAGGGACATGGCTAACCATGATTAGTTTGTACACTCTGCAGAGGTTTGCGCATTTTTCCCCACAAGACTTGATCTCCTCCGTTGGATTTCTCGCACTACATGGTGTTTGAGAAACGGATGACCGAGACACAATCTTTCAGAAGCATTAACTCTGACCCTGGGTAGACCGTACCAAACTACATCCACTACAACTGCTAGTCTACCACTAAAAGAGGTCATGCAACTTACTCCACTATGTCAGAGCCCATAATGGCATGTGGCTACACATGGAAGTTTCTAGCATGAATAATCTTATGATCCCTTTGAGCCTGGGTGGCGGACCGTAGGATGATCACACGGGTACTCCCGGATATCCTAGGACAACACTGGATTCTCCAGGTGCCCACAAGCAATCCACCCAGATGTGTATTAAAGTTGTCACCTTAAGTTGAATCATTAATTAACAACTCACATCTGTCATGGATACTCTCAAACTCAATCCACGTCTACGAGCATAGCATAGCAGTATAAGCATAATGTAGAAGTAACTTCCAAGGGTTTGATAATAAAACAGGTAATAGGTTCTACCTCATCATCTACTTCCCAAACCCACATGTTAAGAGATCCTACTCATGCAATGTGTGAGGGTTAAAACTAATGCATAAAAACTGGGTAATAAAGGGGTATGATCAAAGTGTTACATGCCTTGCTGATGATCCGCAAAACCTAAAGGCTCGTAGTAGCACACTTCGCACTCCGGGTGTTCTATCACAAACAAACAATAGTGTACATAAGCAATCAAGCAAATATGCACGGGGAAAACTCAAATAAGAAGATCTAACCAGAAAGCTCAACTAAAGAACTCCGGTTTGCAAAAAGATTCAAATCAAATGGAGCAACGAAACTCAAACTACGAAAGAAACAAGATCCGATTACTAATCTAGACTAAAGTCAAATTTTACAGTACCAAAATCTTGTTTAAGTTGGTTAAACATAAAGAGGGCTTTGAGACAAGGATCTAGGTGCTTGTTTCACCTGATTCAGATAAACGAGCGAAAACATATACTAGAACGAAGATTAAGGCAGAAATCGCGATCGAAAATAATCATGGAAAAACCCTGGAAAAAGAAAACTGACGAATAGGCTAACAAACGAACGTTCGCTGTCTGCGGCTAATGGGTGAACGGCGTTCGTTAAAACGACGTACGGACGAACGTCCGCTATTTAACTAAACGAAGAAAAAAACCAAAAAACCGATCTAGAAAAAACAAACTAGGGTTTCTAAAAAAAACCGAACGGTTTTCTCGCAAAAACCGGCGGCGGCGACAGACGGCGACATGGCGGTGGCGGCGGCAAGGCGGATCGGGCGAGCGAGCGGCGCGGCGCTCTAGGGTTTCGGGGGTGGGGCGCTGGGGTGGGCTGGGGCGCTGGCTCGGGCCTCGGCTTATAAGGGCCGGCCGGGTGCAGTGTCCTGTACGGACACGGCCCGATAGGTCGGTTACTCTTTTTTTAAAATAAATTATGATGTAGAAAAATAATTAAAAGAAATACTAAACAGACTCCAAAAATCCTGAAATAAATTTTCACGTCCTCTAATAATATTGTGGATAAAGTGAACATTTATTTGGACCTCTAATGCAATTTTGAAAAACGCATTTGTTTTACCTAATTCAAATAAAATTGCAATAAAATCCAAATAAAACCTTAATTGATTTTAATATTTTTCCTCCAATATTCATTTTATTTTGGAGAAGTCATATTATCTCCTCTCATATATTTTAATATGAAATATTTTCGAAGAGAAAAATAATCAAAACCAATTGATCCTCTTTTCAAAATTTGAGAAAACTCAAATATGAAAATATCGAAATTCCCAACTCTCTTCGCGGGTCCTGGAGTCGCTTAGAATTTCCAGGATCGCAAAGCAAAATGCAATAAAATATGGTATGCATGCATGACCTATGTATAACATTTCAAATTGAAAATGTGAGATGTTACACCTGGCCTCCCCCAACAACCCTGATCGGTCGACTTGAAGCATGATGTTCCGAGGATCAAGGGTTCTAACCGTGCTATCAGGCTATGCAATCCTATACATGCTTACGAATCCTGCAACCGCGAGCAGATAGAGACTAGTTGATGATATAACATGTAGAGGATGACTTGTATATGCAGTGACTCTCTTCTTAGTATCATGTGGTCAAATGGATCATCTTTTGGTATCTACCGGTCAATTGGATCCTCGGCAAAATTAATCCAACTGCTGGCGTTTCTTCTGGACAGCAAGTGTGTGCTGTAGTGGGTTTCATTCAGAGGGCAAATACGTAAACCTGCCATTGAATGCCTAGCCAGGCTTCAGGTGAGCATTTTTTTGGCTTGTGAGCGCAGGGAGAGGGCACCCAAAAGCAACTGCCATCCTCTGAGGTCGGCTACATCATTCTATAATGAGGTGATAGCATTGCAGGTCTTCAAACATGTCCTAAACGTGATGGTTTAGTCCTACAACTTGTAAAAGTAAACTGATTGGTCCTACAATTTGCAATGGATGTGCAAATTTAATCCTGAGCCACTCACACGCAGCCAAGTGGCGGAGATAGCCAGCTTTGTGCTTTTTGCAGATACCCCTTCTGTTGTTTGTTTTAATCAACCCGCACTACATCTCATCTTAGTCAATTTTCGTGATTGGATCCGTTCGTCCTACAGTCCTACTCCCTTCTCCGTTCCCAGCATCCATCAGGTTTGCATGACTGAAAAGTAGGGGGAGATGAGCAGAGTGCCATTTGCCGAAGAGAAAAATTCACTGTACGTCATTAAATTTGAGCCGGTTGACAGATTGGCACCACTACTTCAAAATACCCTAACTACGGCTCATGTATTTGTGCATAGGGTTCATTTTGGTCTATTTGTACGATTTTGTGTACGTATTTGCTGACTTGGCCTAGTCAGTGCCCGCCACCTTGCTTTGACCGCCACCTGGTCAATCCTGGGGTGAATACTAGTCGATTCAGGGTTTTTTTTTTGCAAAAAAGCCGTGACCATTAAACCAGCCCCTAAACATGGCCTCCACGCTCGCGCCCGCGGAGGTCACGGCATCCACGCTCGCCAGGAAACCATCCAGACGCACCGGAAACCCCGACGCGGTCGCCCCGTCCATTCGTCCCGCCGCCCTTTTACCTTTTTCCACGCACGCTAATTTAATCCGTCCGTCCGCTCTTACTCCCCGCCAGACCTCGCCTCCTTCTGTTCCCGAGCTAATCACAATTTGAATCTCCTGGATTTGAATTCACGAACGGATTTAGCTACTCCGCGAGCCTTCCCGACAGCTCCATGGACGTCATGGAGAAGCTGGCGCTGGACGAGCTGTTGCCGAAGCCGCCCCCGGTGGTGGCGCCGCGGCTGCCGCCCGCGTTGCCCTCGCAGAGCGTGAACGCCGTCTTCAGGTTGGCCACGATGTCGGCCATCGCCGGCCGGTCCTTGCCCTCGAGCCGCACGCAGTGCACGGCCGTGTAGGCCACCAGCTCGACGGCCTCGGCCTCGTGCGGTGACGGCTCCGGCGCGCGCCCATCCAGCACCTTGCCGAGCTCCCCGGCGACGATGCTCGGCTGCGCGTAGTCCACCACGCTCAAGGGGCTCCCGTCCTCGGCCTCCTTGAAGATGGCGCGCTTCCCCGCCAGCGTCTCCAACATCACCACGCCGAAGCCGTACACGTCGCTCTTCACGGTGAGGTGGTGCAGGCCGTGGTACTCCGGGTCCATGTACCCCACCGTGCCGGCGGCCTTCATGGAAAGGTGTTGCTGCTGCGCCTGCGTGCTGCCCGCCTCCTCCGTCTCCGGCGGCCCCATCAGCGACAGCCCGAAGTCCGACGCATGCGCCACCCACCCGCCGTCCAGCAGGATGTTGGACAACTTGATGTCACGGTGGATGATGGGCGGAACGGCGTACGAGTGCAGGTACTCGATGCCCTGCGACGCGTCCATCATGGTCTTGATGCGCAGCTTCCATGACGACGCCACCGGCGACGCCGCGTCGGCGTCGGCGCCGGCGCCCTTGGGGTGGAGGTGGTCGTAGAGCGCGCCGTTCTTCATGTACTCATACACTAACAGCCGCTCGTCGTTCTCCTCGCAGTAGCCCACCAGGCCGAGGAGGTGCTTGTGGTGGAACCGGGAGAGGAAGGCCAGCTCTGACCGGAACGCGGAATGCAGATTTTGTGAGCTTATGCACCCGGGCCTCACTATCCTAGCACTCCAATGTTGCTTTGAGATCTGTGCTACACAACTACCTTATTACATGGAATTTTCTCTTTTTGTTCCTCTCATATAAAACATGTCTTGAACTTCAAACTTTGCAGTACAACATAACTTTGTAACTAGAATGTGAGATAAAACTTTCAGATTTTTTTGTCCGACATAAATATGAAAAATAAGATTTTTTTAATCAAACAAATCTCATTTTATATATTTATGTTGGACCAAAAAAATCTGTAAGTTTTATCCCACATTCTACATAGAAAGCTTTGTTGTGCTGCAAAGTTGAAGTACAAATACATGTTCTATATGAGAGAAACAAAAAAGAGAAAATTATTTGCACGAATCGTGATGCAGGAATGAGTGGTTGGATAAGGAGTACCCGGGTGCATAGGCTCTAAAACATGTTTTCGCCGGAACGAATGCAGATTTTGTGAGCTTATGCACTCGGGCCTCACTATCCTAGCACTCCAATGTTGGTTTGAGGTCTGTGCTACACAACTACCTTATTACATGTAATTTTCTCTTTTTTGTTCCTCTCATATAAAACATGTCTTGAACTTCAAACTTTGCAGTACAACATAAGTTTGTAACTAGAATGCGAGATAAAACTTTCAGATTTTTTTTGTCCGACATAAATATAAAAAATAAGATTTTTTAATCAAACAAATCTCATTTTGTATATTTATGTTGGACGCGCTCTCCTTCTCCTGAAACTTGCGCGCCATTGGCCCTGACGCCTCACCGCACTTGATGGCGACCTCGCGCCCGTCGGGGAGCCTGCCGCGGTACACCGTCCCGAAGCTCCCCGCGCCGATCTTGGCCTCCGCCGCAAAGCCGTTCGTCGCCGTCGCCAGCTGCGTGAAGGTGTACTCCTCTGTGTGCTCCTTGAAGTTGAAGGGTGACGGCCCGTTGCGCTGCCGCGTCATGGCGCGGGAGAGCTGCCGCCGGAACAGGCCACACGCCCGTGTGGGTCGAGGTCGCTTTGTGGGAGCACGCCCGCGCCCGAGCCGGTGGCCGCCTTCACGCTGCACGCACCTGCTGGAAAATGCTGACGAGGGAGCTGAACACGGCGTCGAAGGTGACGTGGCCCTTGTTGAACAGTGGCTTCCCTTGGTCGTCCTTGGTGCTGCCGGTGAAGTGGCGCGCGGTGAGCACGGTGAAGACGAGCACCGCGACGGCGACGCGAATCTTGCCAATGTTTAAGGTGAAGCCATCGAGGCGCTCCTGGAGCGGCGTTGGCTCATCGGCGTCCTCCTTGGTTATGTTGCCCATCATCTCGCCCCACAAGGTGTCGGTGCCGATGACGGTGACAAGCATTCGGCCATAGCCGTCGATGATCTTCACGCCGGCGGTGAGGAAGGGGTTATTCTCGGCATCGATCTCGGTCGGGTGGGACTCGCCTGTCATGCTCGACTCGTCCACCTGCAGGCGGCCATGACCCTCCAGGAACACCCAGTCCATCGGCACCGAGTGGCCGATCTTGAGTATGGATCTATTTAGGACACATCTAGATATGACATAGTTATGTCACATCTAAGCTGATTTTCACTCTGTTTGTGGTCTATTTTTTTGTTCTAGTTTTTTTTTATTTCTTGTTGATGCATTATATACTTGTGGGAGGTTAGATGTGACATCCTTAAAAACATCTAGATGTAAATTAGACAAACTGCTTGAGTATCACCACGTCGCCGACCAAGATATTGAATCTGGAGACCTCCTGCCTCCGGGCGGCGCGGACGACGGTGACGGCGATATTGTCGGACTCGCTGGCTAGCTCGTCGAAGCGCTTGGCCTGGCCATGGTTGCTGACGGCGGACACGGCAGCGACGAGGAACACCACGAGGAAGATGCCGACGCTGTCGTACCAGCTGTGCTCCTCGATGGCGAAGCCGACGAGCACGATGAAAAGGTCGTCCTTGAGGCTTGAGCGCGTCCCAGAGGTAGCTGAAGAAGCTCTTGGGCATGGGCTTTGGGTGCATGTTCGCGCCGAACGACTTCTTGCGGCGCCCCAGGTCGTCGCTGTC